ACACACACACACACACACACACACACACACACACACACACACACACACACACACACACACACACACCTTTTATGGAATATTTCAAAATTCCAAAAGTGTTCTCCAAATTAAGTAAGCAACCCTAAAGAGCCCCACCTAAGTTGCCTCACCTAAGTTGCCTCACCTGACGGGCCCGTGCGCGAAATACGCATATGTCGGAAAGCGCACGTTAAATTCCTAATTTAAGTAAGTAAGTGTTCGGTCAGACTTGGCCCAGCCTGTCAAAATCAACTTTAAACACACATAATCAAATGTGGTTACATCTATAGACTAGTATTATATCTACCTACATATCACTTTATAATGTCACAGTACACCGCATTTAAAGACAACTGGTCCGTTAAAGTCAAGCACTTTTACTTTTTTCGAAAGAAAGTCTCTGTTAGAAGTGTTCGGTCCGACTTGGCCCGGGCTGTCAAAATTAACTTAAACCTCACAGATGTAACATGAAATGGATTCACATATATAGATTATTATAATATCTACCTATATTCCACTTTATAGTGTCTCAGATCGCAGTATTTAAAGAAAACAAGTTGCTCAAAGTAAAGCCATTTTCCCTCTACAACATTGTCTCTATCAGAAGTGTTTGGCTTGTGTTGGGTTCGACTTGGCCCGGGCTGTCAAAATCAACTTTAAACACACAGATGTATCATCAAATGTGTTTACATCTATAGATTAGTATTATCTCTACCTATACCACTTTATAGTGTCACAGTACATTAAAGAAAACTAAGTGCTCAAAGTGAAGCCCTTTTCCCTCTACATTCTCAACATAATCTCTATCAGACGTGTTTGGCTTGTGTTGGTCCGACTTGGTCCGGCTTGGCCCGGGCCAAAGGTTTTCGTGTATGTTACATTGTGAGAAGGGGGTTATCGTTATCTAGTACGGATTGACTATCGAGCTATGTACGTCGCCTTTCCACCTTCCACACCTCATCCCTTCTCGTGGTCAAAGATGACACGTTGAGTGCTGTCTACAAGATATAAACATGTTTAAACAACGGGACAACGGAGCGAGCAAGCAATAGACATGTCACAGAAGGAGACGAGACACAACCACGTGGCGAGACCCGGAACACCGCCACACCCCTAAGACAGACTCATTTTCGTGGTGTGTCCTGTTCACCTCAACATCGTCAACACCTGTACACTTTAAAGTTTAAAGATGCCCATATCTGCTTAGTGTTACCTGTGCAGAGGTACCGGAGCAACGACATAGGGCAGAGATTTCACTTTTATAGGGTAACAAGAATCGTTATTCATGACACTATATGTCCCTCTCACAATCAATACACACACATGCAAACATACAGCCTTCAATAGAATGTCTTGTTGGGACAGACGCGTGTCCCTGTCGCAGGATACTGTATATGCACGCTGTATACATGCTGTTAGACTAACTTCTAGTCTCTGTAATGAACTATTTTATCGAAAAAAGGTGTTGTTAAATTATAGTTATGAAATATAATAAAAAGGAGCCAAAAGACTTTCTTCATTTTCCTGAAATTGCAGTAATCTAGCAATAGATTTGCGAAATGTTATAGACTTGCATGGGCTGTAATGGATATATTTGTTTCAGGGTTCGTATGACAGACTAGCAAGCTGTGTTTTTGTTGTTGTTTTTATTTACATAACGCTTTACGGCGATCTATAAATAATCCATTCTGAACCAGACAATTCAGTGATTGACATCATGAGCATCGAGCCACCCAAATGAGATACGATGAAAGGCAGTCAACAATTTCGTCGAACCTTACCACCCAATAATATTGTGCATACTTTTAATGCACAAAATCTAGATCGTAAATCTTGCTCAAAATATTTAACCCCGGTCAATGGATCAATGAGCAGTCGACTCAACCATCTCACTCTACCAGGTACCCATCAACTGCTGTATACCTGTGACTGAAGGAATGCGCCATTTCGGTTTCTCTAAAATTGGAGCGTTTAAAGTGAAGTGAGTGTTTTAATCTGGACATGTTTTAACCAATCGTCTGTCACATTCTGTGACTTATGCATGTTTCGCAATGTGGATAATCGATCATATTTGTTCATTTTGTTTGAATTTTTTTATGAGGAAATATATCTACTTTCACAAAATTCACCAGGTCAATATTTTGTAAGGATAAAGTATTGGCATTGACTGAGTTTCTAGATTAGCTATATGCCTGCAGCTTTATCGCGTACTTCCCATGCAATGTAGTACGTCGTATATGTATTATTCAAACTGTAGGCTGCCTGAGTGAACATAATTCTTCTGGTAAATTTATTTCCTTCCATCAGGTGAATCAAAAGGAAAGAAATACACTTTTTTTAAAATGTCATTTCCATAGGGACCGCCTCAGTGGTCTAGTGGTTCGATCCCCGGCCGCGTCATACCAAAAGACGTTAAAAGATGGTACTTGTTGTTACCCTGTCTGGCGCTCGGCATTGAGGGGCTAAAACAAGGACTGGTCGGCTCAGTATACTGTGTATGAGTGGGGTATTCATGTCAAACTGCGGCATGGTATCTCAGTGGGCTAGCACTGTAAATCGGCATCAGTCCGGACTAGTACAAGCAGCCACACTCACACACACACACACACGCACGCACGCACGCACGCACGCACGCGCGCGCGAGGGTACATGCACGTCGCTATGTAAGTGCAATAACCTTGGACGCGACGTGAAACCCCATTTCACCTCACCTCATTTGCATAACTTCCCCTCATCCAGTCACGAAGTCTTCTTCTTCAATACTTCATTTCCACTCTACATTTCAATCGGCGTGTACTTTAGATTGAGGCTCACTAATTCCAAACATTCTGATGACAGATTATTTGTAATGACCATTTGGTGCCAAGAACTATTTTCACATTATCTTCCATATAATGTATGTTACCTACTATCATTTATCAACAATACACTTTATTTTTTTTATAAAAAATACCCTGTGCTTGTTTGTTTTCTTCAACAGTAGTTCGCTGCATATGTAATAAATTCATACCGCTTCTTGAGGTGGTTTGCGGTTATACATGGTTTATCTCCCAGCCTGTTGGCTACATTTTGCAATTCATTCACAAAGTGGTGTATTATTCCCCCCTCTGTGTGTGTGTGTGTGTGTGTGTGTGTGTGTGTGTGTGTGTGTGGGTGGGTGTGGGTGGGTGTGTGTGTGTCTGCTTGTACAGGTCCGACCTGATGCCGGTTTTACAGTGCTAGCATACTCAGTTAAACATCAATATGTCGCTCAGATATATTATACAGACTCCAAGTCGACCAATCCTTGTTTTATCCAATTAATCATGATCATGTACATCACGTGACGATGTTAATATCCAATCTGCATTGTACTATGGGCATTGATGCCTAAAATACTGAATTAACTGTCTGTCTGTCTGTCTGTCTGTAAGTAAATAAAGTATGAAAAGTAAAATAAAAAATAAAATAAAAATAGAGCCCATGACAATACTTCAGGCTTGCCAAATTAATCCACACTTGAGTTGGATTTCCTTTTTATTTCTGGGAGACTGACTCTTGGCAGGACGGAAGCCCTAGAAGCTTTCAGGAGCCAAAATGCGAAGGCGGGTGCCTATATCCAGCTACTTGCTCGATCAACATGACCACGTGTCGATACCACGTATGAACTCGTGTACACTTTATCTGTACAAAGGTCGTATTTCGTCTATCAGTAATACGGACACATACCGTCCTGTCAGCAGAAATTATAGCTGATAGCCGATTTTGGTACCCACTGTACCACATGTGATGCAATGGTGCAATACAAGACATGAGAACGGGGCCATGTTCTGTTGAACATACCGTAGAAAATGGAAGTGTTAATTATTAAGGATAGTGGACTGTTCAGGGCTCCCTCTACTGTCACCTATATCATGTAAAACAAATGCTATTTGAGCATGGATTTAGCTATGTGTTGGCTGATCCGTTCAGTGTAACCCCAGAAGGGTTTTATAATGTCTTCCAGCAACGTCTATTGTTAGTTTAAAACTGGGGAAGGGATGTATCATCCATGAGTAAATAATGGTTGTATAAAAACAAACCAAGCCTACTTTTATGTACGAATTTTATTTAGACATATTGCGTTATACGAGAAAACACGTCCATGGAAATGAATATATATGTTTACCAGCGTAACTCAAACGCACGCAATTCTGAAGCATCTTACCATATACCCTGTGTTTGCATCAGTAAATCTATATATGTCGGCAGTTTTACCCTACTTTAATAATTTTCATCTCTTATTCCATCTGCTAGCTTAATTTATTCTCTTCATTTTAATTTGGATCTATTTTGTTCTTATGAAGATCAAAGTAACTTATGTAATTAATTAAACATGTTTTGACAATGAATTGATTCTTCTGCAAACATGAAAGAATAAACGAGTTCGTATTTATCTTTATTGACAAAACATACCGTTCAGTAACAAATAATGACTGCTAAAAAGTCATGCATGTGTAATCTAATACCAGTATACATGCACAAGTATACCAGGATATCAAATAAGATAATAACAGTCATTGTGCAATGCAGATATCTGTTTGTTCAGAAGGGTAGTTGTATGTCATGTGTTTGTACCCTAATTTCCCATCCCAAAGTTCATGCGATTATCACAATGTTAGATTAAACAATCTAATCAGAGATGAACTTGATGACTGTTAATAAACATGCTGTTCGCCAGTGACACGTGTTGAATAATTCAAGGGAAACAGAATTGAACACATTTCTTTCGAAACCACAAGCTGTTAGTACTTCTAAGAGATGCATGCTCCAAAGAAATACATGCAAAATAGTTCATAACTACAAATCTCCATATAATCAAAACCAAATTCACGACTCATTGTAATAACAGTGCTGACACAACATGTGAAGTGAGATGTGAGATGCTGTCACTGTTGAAGCGCTGTGCTTGAAGACTGAAGTCACCTTTCAGATGACTATCAAAATAATAATGAACTTCAATATAAAATGATTGATTGGCATTTATTCACATTCAAAAACTATACATTTGAATACTAGTATGTGTTTGTAGATATAAATAAATGGTTATAATCTATTTCATGCAGACATAGGCCATGAGAAGAGACATGATTGTAGCAACCACCGACATCTGTACAGAACCAGCTTCTGAAGCTGAAATATAATAGGAACTCCATTAATTGAGCAGGTAATAATAAGTGAAGAGGTGAGGTGAGGTGAAATGGGGTTTAACGTCGCGTCCAAGATTATTGCACTTATATAGCGACGTGTATGCACGTGTGTGTGTGTGTGTGTGTGTGTGTGTGTGTGTGTGTGTGTGTGTGTGTGCTTGTACTAGTCCGGACTGAAGCCGATTTATAGTGCTAGACCACTGCGATACCATGCCGCAGTTTAACATGAATAATCCACTCAGACACAGTATACTGACTCCGAGCCAACCAGTCCTTGTTTTAGCCCCTTAATGCCGAGCGCCAGGCAGAGTAACAACAAGTACCATCTTTTAACGTCTTTTGGTATGACGCGGCCGGGGATCGAACCACTAGACCACTGAGGCGGTCTAATAAGTGAAGAACACCCATTCCAAACAATATGTCATAACGGCTAATTTCAAAGTTAAAAATACCCTAATAGTCAAATGACTTGCTTTCCAAATGTGTCAGAAAACCCTATTCCATCAGGATGCTATCAGGATATTCGGGCACTGCTGTCATGGGCACCGGTACTAGGTTACTAGTGACTAGATGGGGTGAGGGTGGAGATCCTGTCATGCAATAACATCTCATTACAGCTTCATTTCAAGTTGACCGCCTCCGTGGTCTAGTGGTAGAGCGTCCGCCCGGAGAGCGGGCATTATATCTCAGTGAGCTAGCACTATAAATCGGCATCGGTCCGGACAAGTACACGCAGCCACACACACACATACACGTGCATGCACGTCGCTATATAAGTGCAATAATCTTGGACGCGACGTTAAACCCTATTTCACCTCACTTCACCATTTCAAGTTATTATGTCAGTATTCAAGTGCTCTCTAAAGATTGGGATAGTATGAATACATTCTTATCCACCCTTATTACTGTCGTAATGTATCAACCATGCGCATAATTAGAAATAATAAAGAACCTACTTGAACATCCGAAACTTGCCACTTGACTCTTTATCTGGTTGACTGCCTGACTGAATGATGGGTCACTCTTACAACCGCTGCTCACTTTGTTGATGCAGGTGATGAATGCATCAAACGCGCTGAAAGATGGGTACACACGTTGCTTAACATTTGATCATGACTGGACGTAGTGCCTGATGAATCATACCGTTAACTAGAGAAGTGATGTGGCGGCGGAAATACGCTTAAGAAACATAACAACATATAGTTGGCTGGTTGGTTGTTTTACGCCGCACTCAGCAATATTCCAGCTATATGACGGCGGTCTGTAAATAATCGAGTCTGGACCAGACAATCCAGTGATTAATATCATGAGCATCGATCCGCGCAATTGGGATCTATGACATGCATCAACCAAGTCAGCGAGCCTGACCACCCGATCCCGTTAGTCGCCTTTTACGACAAGCATAGTCGCCTTTTACGGCAAGAATGGGTTGCTGAAGACCTATTCTACCCCGGAATACAACATATAGCATCATGGTTGTGGATCATGATGAATTTTCACTATGGCCAGTAGACGTTGCAAATTAAGTACTAAAATACACGTATTTGCAACACGTTTGGGTTATTTGAGATTTGCGGTACTTACGGAATGGCGCTGCATCAAACAAAAGATCCAATTATCAAATATCCAATATAATCAATGTATGTAATTCAATAACATGCGTTACACAGAGTATACATTTTATATGTATACGCATTTGAGATTATGGGACATCTTTTAAGAAAAAAGGATTACGAAATTTACAAACATTACTTACGCACAAGCTTTAGACTTATCCGTCCCAGCTGCAGTAAAGGCTGTTCCAAATTGGGTTGCACACGTAGTGATGACTGACAAGTCGTTCACTGAACAGTCAGCACTGGCACTGCCCACACAAACTGCAATGATAAACATTACAGGTAGTAGGAGGCGTTTCGTGACAGGAACAAGCGTTTCAGTTGCAGCAAAACATATTTACTGTGGTGAAACGGTAATAGTCATTATTATACATGATGAATATGAACACACATATCTTGCTCATATTTGAATATTCCTTCATGACAAACTGATTTAATATAAAAAAAGTTGTGCTTGAGAGTGAAACTGACATATTCGAGTTATCCATGTTTCGCGACAATGAAATGTCGATATTACAAGGATCCTGGTTTCGCCAGGACGATAACCTAAGTCATAATCGATATAATGAGTTACTAGTATGTTTTATGATCGTAATGATTATTTTAAAAAAATTAACCAATATCAAACGTTCGATATTTGCATTTTTATATGTTTGATACATATATCTGTCTTAGTGATGTAGCATTCAAATTATGCAGATGCACGTGTAGGTTAATACAGCCGTAGCAGTGATATAGAGTTATCCTTGCTTCCATTAAGCAGAGGATGAACAATGTGATGGTTACAATTTGGCAAAAACATGTAATGTTATTCAGTAAATATAGTTGTATTCTAATTATAACATAACTGAAAAAAAGACAAAAATATAGCATACATCCTTTTTGTAATGGAACAAAGTTTTGGAGTTTGTTAAATAACATGTATCAAATCTGATTTATTTTGACCTGTATATTTTAATTTCGGGAATTTATTGATACCTAATATTATTGTAGATCACAGAATAAATACTGTGTAAGAAATCAGGCGAATATATTGTTTACAGCCATACCAAGTTCCAAAGTACGATATCAATATGGAATGGTTGTTCAAGTTCTCTGGGCGGCGGTCGGGTAGCCTAGTGGTTAAAGCGTTCGCTCGTCACGCCGAAGACCCGACATGGGTACAATGTGTGAAGTGAAATTGCTGGAATATTGCTAAAAGCGGCGTAAAACCATATTCACTCACTCACTCACTCACTCAAGTTCTCTGAATGACAATTTATAAAAGTAATCACAGTTTAGAGAGATAATGATAATTTTGACAATGTAAAAGGAATGTGATGAGGGGAATTAGCTTCTTTCATGACAAACTAGTTTGAATATATACAATAATTATTACTTGTCGTGAACAGTGAACATGCCGAATCTATGTTCCTTGTATGGTCTTCCTGGAGGGGGCACGGGTGGCCCAGTCGTCTAAGGCGCCGCGATTCGCTATGCAGAGTTTCGTCCCTTGGGTACGCCAGAAACCTATGATTGTTGGTTCGAATCCCGGTTCGCCCCGATTATGTTTCTAGGTTTGTCAGAACCATATACCGTGCTCGTGGGTTTCACCGAAGTGGTAAACGTCTGAGACAAGCATCACTTGGGGCTTTCCTCCCACATTAAGCTGACACGCCGTGATATAACTGGAATACTGTTAAAAGCGGCGTAAAACACAACTCACTCACTCACTCTTCCTGGAAAAGCCTCGTCACAACATCTGACACGGAATATGGCTCAGCTAGGGCAACCTTTCTTGACAATAATATATTGGGAATATTTGTCAACTTGCACCAGATCTTTCATTACGTTAATAGGAAACGATGCACCCCTGCCCGAAAGTGACTAGTTTATATGCCTTACCTGCAACTACAAACGCAGAAATGATCCACTTGTTCATGGTGAAGGGCTTAGTGATGATGTGCCAGTGTCTTCTTGGCTCGTGGGTATGTGCATAAGCTTATATCATGCAAATAGATTTTGCATCGACCAATGAGAAGAGTCTGATAAGAGATACATATTCATCGCATTGTCAAGTACCGCGTCATATATTATAGGATGGGAATGAAGTTCAAAGCAATGCATGTCGCAGATATTTATAACTTTGGGGAAGTATTGCGCAAACGTTTGTAATCTTGTTTCGCAGTAAAATTGAAGTGAAAGATTATTGAGAAAACTAGCACTACGGCCCTATCTTAGGAGACTAACATACATGACAATACTATCTGATAAAAGCAGTCCTAAATGTAAATATATGCCTCGCAGATTTATCAGAAATAGATGAGGTCGTTTATCAAAATCAACAGATCAAGAAGTGACGAAAACAGATTATCACACAATCATTATCACACAGATTTAAGAATATCGTAAAAAGAAACAAATCGGTTTTCATCGTTTTCATTTAAACAAGTAAGCATCTTAACTCCACTTATTCACGAAATATACACGGCTACACTCTGTGTGTGGTACAAATGCATTCTGTTCCAAAAATGAATTGAAGAATATGAATATTAACTTACGTCCAAAAGAAACTGTACTACTTTGACATTAGAATAGGCGATCGTTTCATTCCAAAGGGCAATAACTCTCCTTTTGAAGAGATATAAGTGACGGTCTAACCTGTGGCTTCCCTGTCTGGCGCTCGGCATTAAGGGGCTAAAACAAGGACTGGTCGGCTCGGAGTCAGTATACTCTGTCTGAGTGGGGTATTCATGTTAAACTGCGGCATGGTATCTCAGTGAGCTAGCACTATAAATCAGCATCAGTCCGGACCTCTACAAGCAGCCACACACGTGCATGCACGTCGCATTAAGTGCAATAACAGACGTTTCACCTCACCTCACCTCAACTCTAGTATTTAGAAATTAGAGATACGCTAACATTAATTTTGCAGCACACAGGCATACTCGACAGGCCTTTATACATTCGTGCCTTTACAAATAATTGAAGAAGAAATTACGTTCAGAATAAAACAACTGATTTAAAATTTTAAATTTATATCGAAATTGAAGTTACATCTGATTTTAATTTTTTTATTCTAACAATATTTTTTAGAAAGATGCCAAAAGAAAATCTACCATGCATCTATCAAGCAATCAGTGACCCAGTTGCAATATACATACCAGTTATCATCATTTGAAATAAGAATACCTATATTTTTCTTCCCCTTATACAATATGTCCCACCATTAAGTGCTTTGAGTAATCAGAGGTGTTAATTCATTGGTCCATCATTTCTTACAGATTTCACTCATGCTCATAAAATAAAGTAAATTACAGAAAATTTGTCCCAACAAACAACACATCATACTGACTACCCCACAAGATGTGTATGATACAGAGCTAAATGTAAATCAAGGTTGTATCCTCCTGCTTTAGTAACACAATATTTATTATTATGTTGACAAGTTATTTCCCTTACAACCCATACACTATCCTGCTAGCGACGTAGCTATGTTTACTGATTTTCATTCAACAGTACTTCTACACAAGATAATATTTTTATCATATAGCAAAATTAATATGATTTTAGAAAGTTTATAATCAAATATTCTGATGATGACAAATACAACCCCCACAGTCATTCCATGTAGATATATGCATTTATTTTTGTTATTTGTTCTTGCATATTACAGATTATACTTATATGTGTTGCAGTCGTGCCTATAATCAGGCAATATGTGTATAGACTTTGAGATGAGAGGAGTAAGCTTTTTTCATGACAAACTTGTTTGAATATATTATACAAATACTTATCGTGAGCAGTGAACATGCCGAGTCTTTGTTCTGTGCATGGCCTCGTCACAAGATAACATGTTTGCATTATATGGATTATGATAATAATTATTATAAGAAAGAGAGAGAGAGAGTGAGTGAGTGAGTGAGTATGGACGCCGCTTTTAGCAATATTCCAGCAATATCACGGCGGGGCACACCGGAAATGGGCTTCACACATTGTACCCACGTCTAAATGGAAGAGAAATAACCAGCTTAATGTCATTATAAAGATCATGTATTTATTCCGATCCAGTAAACTTACTGAACAGCATATATATTACGTAGCCAATGTCAGTATACTATTAACGCATGTTCAAAGGATGGTAACGACTTCAGGAATGGCATTTGGAGACAAAAAGTAAACATTTTATTTCATCATTCTTGCGTATTATTTGCCAGAAAACGAAACGGAGTTTACATACAACAACATTGAGCAGAACACAATATTCCCCAGTCTTCAGCACGTGGCGATTGCTGATAACAGTGTTAGAATCTACTAATGCCGCTACAACTATTATAAAGAAGTTGAACACCCATACTAAGGGGTCATCAGCTATAGATTGTTGTATCATTCACGGAATGTTTGAGGTAACATCAGGTTGTCGAACACGTGTTCGAACGTATTGAACTAGCAAACAGTAGTTGGATAAAAATAACGAATACAATTATTATTCATGCAGATAATTTATGCTGTGAAAATTAATTCTTTAACTATATATGAATCCATTGTATATATGCAGTGCCAACCACGTTGTGACGTGATGCGATGTCCCCACTGAACACCGTCATTATAGATCGACTTGTTAGGCGCAGACCACGCCGTCCATGGGCCAGTCAGCCGAGAAGACCTGGTGCAGGCTCTCAAAGACGAATGACAAAGTATTCCACATGACGTCATCCGCCGATTAACCTCGTTTGTGCAATGGAGAGGATATACGTGTATCGAGGCAAGGGGTGGTCGCACACGCTATTGTTTTAAAGTAACTTGTATTCTGTCTGAGGCGTCCTTGTGTGTGAGTGGGGTAAAACAAACTGATTGGTCTGCCCCCGCTGTCTGACGTTATCCTTGGTATCTGAATCACAATCATTCCCCGTATGGAGTGCGAGGATATATTTTTCTATTATAAACATTTTTTATTCCATGTTGTTTTTAATGGGAGATTTATCTCAGGTAAAGTTTGTTTTGGGCGTCAGTTGGAATGATAAATCCGACCCTACTGAAGCGAGATTACGGGCCTATCGGCTTTTCAAAATTAAGTAAGGATAACATTTATGAATGAACATTGTCAATTTCTTTATTATTATTAACTTCTATTTGTAATAAAGAAGTTGTTCATCCATAAGTCTTATACTCCCTTAGTACTCCAACTTGTAAATGCCTCTAAAAGAAGTTATCCAAAATTGTTCCAGAAATTGCACCGTCACGTCAAGACATTTTGAGGAGTACTTCTCAAGATGACGCTATAAAAGCTACTACCCCTACACACAGAAACAGGTCAACACAGTAGACACCCAACAGACACCCAAACACACAGACACACAACAGACACCCAAACACACAGACACACAACAGACACGCCAAACAAACACACGCAAGAGCACTTGTCATGCCAATGGTGTAGTGGTGGAAACAAAAGTTACATTCTCAATGAAAATGTAGTTCCACTAAGATCTAAGGTACAATAAGAATAATGTCCCACCACTTTTGGAGTATGATGCATTTTAGATATCAACAGTTCGTCTAATTGTCTCTCCTTGAGTTTCCTACTATGTGGGGCGGTCGGGTAGCCTAGTGGTTGAAGCGTTCGCTCGTCACGCCGAAGACCCGGGTTCTATTCCCGACATGGGTACAATGTGTGAAGCCCATTTCTGGTGTCCCCCGCCGTGATATTGCTGTAATATTGCTAAAAGCGGCGTAAAACCATACTCACCCACTCACTCCTACTATGTGTATATTAGCAGTGTATTAGGGTGTATATATTATGATCTATCCAGTGTTATAACAGTGCCTCTCAAAAGCCAATACATGTCTGATTGTTAAAGATATTTTATTATTTACAAGTGACTTTATCCTTCAGTTGTATGTTCCACTCGTTACTTTAATAAACTCTGTCTGTCCACCTGTCTGTCTTGTATATGTCCTGTCTGTCTGCTTGATAAATAAACATCAGTTTATAGAATATTCCTGTGATGATATTAATTTCCGTTAGTACTTTTTTACGAGAATAATGTATGTATTAGCAACTTGCATTGTGTGGCTTGTCTTGTACAAATCTACAATGAATTTGTACTTGCAAATAGCAGTTTGATAAATATCGCTGTGTCAATGTGGTGTCTGACCAGGACCTCAAATTAAAGAAAGAACACAGTAGAACCGCAACATAAAAAAACAAACTGATAGGGACCGGGACATGGAATAGTTAAATTCACTGAAGCATAAAACATTACACATTTCCACAGTACTGTGTGAGTATGGTTTTACGCCGCTTTATCACAGCGGGGGACACCAGAAATGGGCTTCACACATTGTACCCTTGTGGGGAATCGAACCCAGGTCTTCGGCGTGACGAGCGAACGCCCTAACCACTAGGATACCCGACCGCCCCTATTTCCACAGTACCGCTTCCGTGGTGTAGTGGTAGATCGTCTACCCGGACAGCGGAAGGTCGGGGTTTCGATCCCGTCCGCGTCATAGCAAAATATGTTGAAGATGGTACTTGTTTTTACCCTGCCTGAAGTCGTCATTAAGGGGCTAAAACAAGGAGAGTGAGGTATTTATGTTAAAATGCGGCATGGCATCATAACGTCAGTGGGCCTGCAGTATAAAATCGCGACGGTAATTGTCCTGACTTGTACAAGCAGACACACACGGGAATGCACGTTGCCATATGAGTGAAATAATCTTTGACGCGACGTTAAACCCCATCTCACCTCGCTTCACAAATTGCCACATAACATTGTAGGCTAGGCTATCAGTTGATGCATTATCTGGTCACTCTAAGATTCGGTTGATGCCCCACGTGAGCATTGTGACCGAGAGAGGGCAACGCTTTATCGCTTTCTCGCTTTATCGCCACGCGCTGACAACCGGATGGTCTCAACAAACTTCTGATAGGGCCATAAATCAATCAATTACTTTTTACACTAAAATCCCTGGATTGTTTTAAAATCACCTGCGTCTGTACAGTTAGATTATGTTAAAGTAGATGGTGAGAATAATTCACCAT